AAAAAAAATCATTTTATTGGGGCTCATACAACTCTTCTCACAATCCATACACACATCAATTGTGTCAAGCACATTTGTACTTTTGTTGCCCTCATCATTATCAAAATATTTCCTCTCTGCTTAAACCCTTGGTATCGACTCCTCATTTTCCCCCTCCCTCCCCACTCCCTGATACCTCATGAGCCCTTGATAAGTTATATATTATTATTATTTTGTCATGTCTTACACTGTCCGTCATACAATGTAAAAATTGCTTTATGTAAACATATTTTGAGTTAGTTTGAATTACATGTATTTTTAATAAATAGGACTCTCATCTTGAGTTTGTTATCTCTGATTTTACTTTTTCTTTTGTCTTAGTATTGTTCAACGTACCTTTTATCATTCTGATCTTCATTTCTGTTGATTCAGTCTGTCTATTCTTTCAAGTATTGTCTCATTCTCTTTAATGAATTACATTTTGAATGCTACAAAATTATAGAACTGATTTCAGTAGTCTCTATTACATATAGTTTGATTATATTTTTTATTACTACTTCATTCTGTTATTATCCCCATAAAAATTTACATCTTTGGAAACCACATAAGATCACTGTGAGAAAAGGGTCCAAAGCAGCATTTTTGTATGTTCTCTTATGCATGCATAATTACATTTTTATCTTTAGTGCATGCAAAATATTTATTAATAGACTGTGAGCTATTATTCAAAATTCTTCCATAATTTTTTTCCTAAAATCATTAGTGGAAAATTTAAGTAATTTGAACTATTTCTTGAATCATATGTTAAATCTAAGAAATGTTCTTTTATCACATCTAAGATATATTTAGTAGGAAAGGTTCTGAATCTTAAGGTTTTTATTTTTTATTTTTGTACTTTATCAAAATATCCATAAACTATTGTTAATTGATTGTGGCTGATTAAAAATATATAAACTCAAGATAATTAACTTCTTTTACTTTCCACTAGCCCACTAAGGGCAATTTTGCATTTTCTAGCATTCTTTTACTTTCCACTCTCCTTCCTTGTCTGAAAGGTGATGTCTTGCTTCATCAGCCACTTAGCCTTTTATGTACATTGGCCTAAGAAAAGAGAAGGATGGAAAAAGCTAAGAAGCTAACAGGATCTATTTTAGGAAGGGCAGAGAACTACAATTGGGAGAGTGAGAGTAAGGTTGAGATTGAAAGCTGATGGGATAAGACATAAAAGTATACATTGATTGGCTAAATTTGGAGGAGATTGGTTGAGGGGAGCCAGGCAGTGCAGTGGTTAGAGTTTGGAGCTTCTTACCAAAAAGTCAGCAGTTTGAACCCACAAGCTGCCCTTGTTTTCATAAGGATTCCACAGCCTTGGGAACTCTCAAAGGTGCACTGTCTCGGAGGGTTTTATGAGTCAGAATCCACTCGACAGCAATGAGTTTGTTTGGG